AAAAACTAGATGTTTTTGTTTAGAAAAAGTAGGCACTTTTTTCGGAATCTTCGGATGAATGTCATTTTTGAAGTACTTTACACCGTGCATAGGATGCCGTCCTCCACGTGCCTATGTCTTGTTTGAAATTGTAATTTCCGCCTGTCAGCATGTGCCTTACCGAATACCTGTCGCCATGTTTTTTTTACTGAAGCACGCTACCTTCAATGGTTGCGATTTCGTATCCTTACTAATGACCTTCAGAGCGCCTATCAGCTTTCTCTGACACACAAAATCCTATCATCTTCTTTTTTTTCATTGGAACACTACAAATGCACTTAGCGGCCACGAGTAGTAAGTACCTTCTCTTGCTTCCTCTCTCTCTGCCTGGTGACGGCTTCATCAACTGCTTTGTATTCGTGCACTAAAACACAGAGGCGTCACAAATTGCCAATTGCGTGCACTGTTGTTGCGGTCCGATAAGGGTTTGACACACAGAGCGTCAATTTGTTTCTGCTTCAGATTTCATCCTCCGTCCCGGTCTCAATTGTCTGCACACCCGCACCCACCACTCTGAAAACACCGGAAAACGCCAACCCCTCGTGTCAGTTGTTGAACGGACAGGAAAAGCCCATCGTGGACAGGGAGGAACAGGAGGAGGAGGAGGAGAAGTGTATGCAGACTGGAGACACTTCCGCCGGCGGTGTTCTCTCAACTGGGGCAGTGGATAATGCCGCCAATGCTAAGTCTACCCACCCACTGAAAATTGAATTGGCCAGGACTCATACAGTGCAGCAATTGTATAGCTGCCGTTCTGTACTAACAGGGTAAGTTAGTCCTGACCTCTTGGCTGCCATTCGAACCTATTTATCCTTTACTTTACTAATATAAGTAGATATTTGTAAGGTCACTGGACTCGGACGTCGGGAATTTTGCGAGTAGATGTTTGCAGGCCTGTGTTGGCCATCCTGTGTGACATTCAATTAGTTCTAAACACGTACATGGGGGCAGAAACTTAGCTAACCGTTTAGGAGTATCAAAAGGTAACCTGACACTTATTCTTCTTATCGCTGCTGCCGTCTACCAGCTGGGACTTTGTTGGCTGTCTAAAGACTCAACAATCTGCATGATGTCTTGTATTATATTGT